AGGTTCTAATAAATAGGTTTTGGTTTGTGCAGAGTCTGTGATGAGTCTATAAAGACTGATGTAGTAAAATACTGTTGACACTACACTCTGTACTACACTCTGTACCAATGGTTCTCAAACGTTTGTACCACCTGAGAACATGGAGCTCTCTGAGTACGACCATGAAGACACTAGAATACAGCAGCAGAGGCCTGTTAGCCTGTTAGCTTCCAGCACACAGGAGAGCTGTGTATTCATTATGATGGTTATTGTTACCTTAACACTGAATGTTGTATTAACTGTGCATGGTATGTTTCAGATTTATTCAATTGGAAATGTAATTTTGTACCACTAGAGAGCGCTCACACTGGGGGTACGCGTACCACGGTTTGAGAACCACTGCTCTATACTACTGTCCTTTGAACACTAAATGAGGGAGAAATATTCTCTGGGGCTAAATGTGAAGTACAAATACTCACAACTTGGAGTTGACCTTTGACCACAGAGTTGACCTTTAACCAGTCTGTCAACGTAGTAAAACCAAGTCATGAGTTTCCACAGGTAACCAACAGTACCAAGCTGTGAATGAAATGGTTCCACCAACAGTTCCAGCTCCTTGGACATTAAAGTGTTAAATCTTTGGTGGACACATCATCTGTTCATCCACCTGTTCACCTAACTGCAGTACTAGTACTAGTACTACAGTACATTTACCTCTGGGATGGTCAGCATAGTCGGGCCTCTGGATGTCACTGGGTACGGGCCTCTTGGGAGTCTGTAACCAGAGGTCAAGAGGTCAGAAACATCAAGTTGTCACATCTGAAGAATTAAACCTATTTGAAGGTAAAAACATTGACGTAAATATTCTTTATTCTCGAGTTAAAATGGAAGAGACGTGTTTTAATACTTCTAATCACATACGAATAAATTAATATAAATGTTTCAAAGAATAAAACAATGACAAACAAAATGAAGAAAATATGTATTTATTCCAATATACTGTACATCCAAGTACACACTGAATACTGTGAGTGGACAAACTTCAGGTTTTAGGCAGAATGCCACAGTTAACACATCACAGATGATCAACCACTGACCGACAAACAATCACCTGTGAAAGAGCGCCATCTTACCAGGGGGTAGTGAGGACGTAGTTTTCCTGAGTAGCGGTAGCCGGGCCACGGGTCTGTGTTGATGTCTAACTCTGTGCAGTTCTTCACGTCATTCTGGTTCTGGTCTTCTTCTGGAGAAACACGAAACAACACAGCGTCAAAACAGCCACAAGAAAATGACATGAATGTAAAACTGAGTGACAACCATCAGAGAACCCGTCACCGTCATGGGCTCTGAACCAACAACAACAACTACACTTACTTGCTTTTTTGTGCAGCAGCTTGTGAGACGCCCAGCTCCCTTTGAAACATTCCTGCCAAAAGAAGCAGGAAGTAAACAAAAAGAGTCCCAAACTTCAACTTCTAGAAAAGTAAATCTATACAGTTTATAGGAGATAAAAGCCCAGCAGCTCAGTGGACGTGTGGCTCCTGCTCCAAGCCACTGCTGGGACGGTGACCTCCTGACCTTTTCAGTCGTCACATGACAAATATTTACAAATCTCAATCCTCCACTAAAACACCAAACTGACCTGAGAGCAGTCAGCGGTGTGTCCAGACCACGTGATGTTGTCTGTTGTCTGACCATCAACAAAGCTGTGGAGCAGCATCAATCTGAGCTCAGTGGAACACAACACTGTCAATCAATCCACTGTCACCGACTGTCAGCAAAACGGGGTCTGTATGAGTTATTGTAATTGTTATTATTGTTATTGTTGTTATATTATTATTGTTATTGTTATTATTGTATTAGTCCAGAAACGCTTCTTGCCTATTCTGCTGAGTTAGCTAGCACAACGTTTGCCTTTTTCCCCACAGCTTATTGACACCGAGGTGTGAGTCACAGACACGGACTGAATTATTGATCGTGGGTGAAGTGAGTGTCGATTCACAGCCACGAGGTTTCAGTTAAAGTTCGGTCGATCCATTATGATCAGTTTACCGGGCCACTCACACATGACAACCTAGCTTGACATTAGCCGTAGCAGCCTCGTGATAATCGAGAGGGGCCTGGCTGTCCAGCCGTAAAGAACCTAAAAAACGGACACATGCGGACGGAGCACGGTACCTGTGAGCAGAAGTACGAGCCCTGGATGCCGAGCTTGATACATGTCGGACACTGAAGTTTGGCCTCCTTGCTGCAGCCCTCTGTCTCGCACTCTCTCTGGGTGTCGGTGCTCGCCATGCCTTCGTCTGAGAGAAAGGGAGGGCTGGAGGCGCACAGAGCTGCCAGCAAGTAGTAACACACTGCACATGCGCACAGCTGGGACGTCACGTTGCACGACTCGATCCAATCATCAAAAAGTTTCCTAAAAGAGAGCGTAAGATGGCGACTGCCGAACCGGTGAGCACTTTCTCCAAACAACCAACATTTGCAGGGACGTCTTATTTGAACTTGACTCCGTTGTGTGGGTTA